GTGTGTGTGTTTGTCATTTCATCCCTACCAAGGCTGTAAAGTCACTAAGACAGAAGGGGTTACTGAGTATGAAAAAATAAGAAAAAAGGAGAAACCTTATTAAAGAAAGAGAAACAATAATAAAAGAACATAAAATGAATTAAAAAGACACGTAACAATCAATATTGCATTTAAATTTTTGAAGATCAAAATTGATTGGGAAGCAAGAAGCTGGAAGAGAGTTCCACAAGCGAGATTTTAAAGTAAACGTAAAGTGAAGAAAATCAAAAGTGTTTTAAGTAGTACATTTTAAAGTCTTCTTAAATCTTTAATTCTGCCCAAGCCTGCACCCTGAAGAGGACACACTGGGAACAAAAATGGAGTCCCTAACACAGTCCAATGTTATGTTCAACTTTGTTCTGGCAAATCCTGTGATGGTACCAGTGTCAAGCTGTATTGGACTCTTTGCATTTGGACGACATCGATGGCATGGAGAAGAGAGACATGCTGCATGGGCAACTTTCAATCTGTCATAAAACCCTGCCCAAGCCTGCACCCTGGAGAGGACACTCCAGTGTTGAATCACTGTGAATGCAAATTAGGGACAGTGGGGGGCATTGTACTGATGGGAGGATTCCAAAGGTCATTCTGTAGAGGGAACTGCCCACTGGCAAGAGGGCAACCTCATCTTTGCTTCAAGAACATTGGCAAAAGTGACATGAGAGCAATGGACATGGTGTTCGAAAAGTGGGAAGATGTTGCCAATGGCTGCTGATGCTGGAGATGCAATTTACACCAAGGACGATAGTGAGGAGAGAAGAAACAGAGGCTTACTTCCAGGGTGAAGTGTGCGTGAAGGAAAGAAAACAACAAAATGACATTGGGAGTGAGTGTCTTCAAATGCATTTATTGCAACCAATATCACCCCTGTGTGGGCCTGTGCAGCTATAACAAATGCTGCACCATCATCAGCAGTTGAAGGATAACTTTTTGGGTACGGATCCATGGTCTCTTGGGACTGACACATGCCACATATATATTTCTTTAAACTGAATTGGATAAATTCAAATACAGAATTACTTGGATGCATTACTGAAGTGACTCATCAGTCAATAATTTTCTTACACTGACTTGACTTTGGATATTTTGTGAATCTCCTACAGCCAGATTTAGGGAAGATTATTTGCAATTTAGCAAAGCAGATGGTTGGATTTTATTGACACTAAATATTTATACTTTTTAATAAACATACATAAAAGAACAGCTACTGCCTAATTACATTTTTTATATCACCCTTTCTCTTTCTCCATGTGTATATATATATATAAATATATATATGATAAAAATATAGTTTTGTGGTCTGCTATATTTATGGCCAAAAGTGCTCAATATCAGGGGATAGAGCATGTGTAAATATAAAAATGGACACTGAGCTCAACAATGAGTGGCGACAGTCTGTTTTGTCCTTGTATGCAATCTTTAGGGTAGAAGTATGAAACAGACTCTCGCCACTCTGTGTTGACCTCAGTGACCACTAATATATATATGTGTGTGTGTTTTATTGTAACGTATGGACATTCTATGCCTAATAAATTTAACCATCTTCTTTTCTAAACTGCAGCTAATCTTGCATAAACTGACTGCTGAAAAAGCAGAAAATATTCAAAATCAGGCCCATTAAATTTAATTGACATAGATTGATTATACTTTTCAATAAATCATGTTTAAATGAATAGCTACTGTCTAGCTAATTACAGTATATATATATATATATATATATATATATATATATATATATATTTGGCCAGCAACCTTTCTTCGGGTGATATGACAGAAAAGGAAAATTTAACAGTTTTTTAAAATAGAAAAACTATCGTGATTTCCAGCCATGTTCTATTTTGAGGCTTGGAAGAATTGCTACTATTCTACAATAGGCATCACACAATTATATCTTAAAAACAACCATGAAAAGAAATTAACAACACTTTCAAGTCCCTTGAAAATGGCTAAAGAAGCAGCCTGGCCCAAAGCTCTGTGGGATGATGTTGAGATCATAGACAAGGAACACCATTGGAAAATTCGTAAACAATGGTGTTCCTTGTTTATGAACTCAACATGATCCCACAGAGGGCAGTGATCTCCCTTCTCTCTCCATATGTGGTCAGCCACACCTGATTTTTCCACTATCCCTTATGTTACAGCTTTTGGAAAATTCATAAAGTTAAGGAATCAGCACATATGCAAGGCCACAAAAATCTCCTGAGCCGACCAAGCATAGAAATAAATACAGTATGGGAACCAGTAATAAGGAGTGCCAGAGAAAAGCAATGATAACAACAAAGTTGCAATATGAGCTCTGGTAAAAAAACATGCAATGATAACAGCAAAATTGCAATATAAGCACTGGTAAAAATGGTTGCTGAAAACATAAGGTTTATAATACCCAGAAATTCATACCCAGATGTCCTCAAGGACACATGGCACAGTGGATAAAGACGTTAGATCCAGTGACAGGACCCAAAGAGTATGAGTTCAATACCTGGTTAACTGACTTTCAGAGGGAAATTAATAGGAGATAACTGATAACTGACATCCATTAAACATGGCAAGTGGAACTAGAACAGTCTACCCCAGTGAGCGAAATAAAGGGTTCAGTTCAACATTCCAATCACCTGAAGAAGGCCAGAGCGTACAACAGCTGAAACGTTATAATAAATATGGCAACAAAGATGAGGACAATAGTCCAAATAATGTACTATCATTATTGTTTTTGTCTGTGTATTGTTATGTATATTTTAATGTAATTGTCAACTTTTTCTTTTGGCTTGAAAGCTTAGATAGGATTAAAAAATATGTATCAATATTTTGATTTTCTTTCTTCTTCTAATGATAATGTTATTAAGCTTATCAGACGATATGAAAAGAATTTACATAAAATAAATAGACAAAACTTGTATATATATATGATTTTAATGTTTGCTATGTTTATGGGTAAATGCACTCAATACCAAGAACAGAGCATGTCAATATAAAAGTGGACATTGAGGTCAACACTGAGTGGCCACAGTGTAATGGCTCAACTATTTAAATGTTCTGGTAAATGGGGCCTTATGGTCAGTTATTTCCAGTGTATTCTACTATCTAAATCCTTATTTGGTAGGTGACAACAGTTATATTTCAAATTATTCTAAAGGCTATAGAGTAGAACTAATTGTGAGTCAGAATTCAGTTATTTATATGGACACTGAGGTCAACACCAAATAGTGACAGTCTGTTTCATATTTGAATGCAATCTTCAAGCCACATGTGTTGTATAGTCACTTGACTATATATATTAGTCAATGGGGCACTATGGGTAGCAAGGTCAGGTCTTTCCATTTTATTGTGTTATCCTAGCAATTATT